GTTCTATGCGATAGCGTTGATTCTTCCGTGATCGCGTAGAGTAAATTTTGGGAGGTCACAATTTGTTCTATGCGATCGCATTGATTCTTCCGCGATCGCATAGAGTTAATTTTGATAGTCATCAATTTGTTCTATGCGATCGCATTGATTCTTTCGCGATCGCATAGAGTAAAAATTCGCCCAGTTATTTTAAGTTCTAAAAACAGAATGCATTACGGGATTCTCATTATTTTTCACAACTTCTTCTTCTCCAGAGCTCTTAGGCGATTTTTGAAGCATTTCTTCACCAAAACTTCTTGGCTAAGTAATCTTTAACTTGTTTTCTTTCACTTTCATCAACACCCACTAGATTTCTAGGCCTAAAATATGGAATTAAAGGTAGAAAATTAGGGATTTGGGTAGAACTAGGGCTTTTTGATTAATGGTTATTTAGACCTCGTTTTGGGGTCGAATTTGAAAACAAATTATATATTCAGGCTCGTGGGTGAATGAGTAATTTGATTTTGGTCTGAACCTCGTTTTTTCCCAAGCGGGCCCGGGGTCGATTTTTGGATTTTTGGGAAGAATGATTGGAAAGTTATAATTAAACATTGGAACTGGATTGTTTAGCATTTATTGATGTTATTAAGTCGATTATGTATAGATTCGATTGTGTTGGAGCCGAATTCGAAAGGAAAAGCGGCGTTTGAGGATTGAATTGGCCGTGGAAGTTTGAGGTAAGTGTTTGGTCTAACCTTAGCTTGAGGGATTAGAAGTTGAGTCCTATTTGCTATGTGATAATTGTTGAGTACGACGTATAGGCATGGTAACGAGTATCTATACGTTGGTGTCAAGTATGACCGTGAGTCTTATATTGTGATTTTCATGGTTTCGTTGTATTCTTCATGCTTTGGTGATGATTTCTAGTTGTTGTGAAAAGTTTGTGGAAGGAATTGAGACCTTTGAACATTATGGAGCATTGGCTCGAGTTATATTATGAATTGTGAAAGTATATGAGATGATTGAACCCTTTGGAGCATTGGCTCAAGTGGTAAAGTGAGTTACGAAGTTCATGTGAAAGATAGAGAAAGAGTTATTGAAATGTTCCCTTGCCGGGATTTAATTATTTACTTGTTGCTCCCTTGCCGGGATTTAATTGTTAAATTGTTGTTCCCTTGCCGGGATTCCTATATGTTCTTGTTTATTTCCCTTGCCCTTGTTTGTGATTGTTGTTTGGGTGAGGAAGAGTGTTAAAGCACGAAGGGTGATGCCGTGCCACACGATGTACCATTCCGTGCCAATTCTATTGATTATATGTGAGAAAAGAGAGTAAAAGCACGAAGGGTGATGCCGTGCACATTTTATTATTCTAATTGCTTTGGTGAGGAAAGAGAGTAAAAGCACGAAGGATGATGTCGTGCGCGTTTTCATTATATTATTGCTTGGTGAGGACGAGAGTAAAAGCACGAAGGGTGATGCCGTGCACTTGTCTTTGATTTTTCCTGATTTTTTGCTGATAATTGAGTTATGTTGCCCTTTACTGCTATTTACTGATTTTCTTGTTGTTATCGGTTCAAGTGCATTAATTGTCTTATCCCACTATTACTGTGATTCTTTGTGTTGGCATTTTCCTTTATTGTGTTACTTGTTATTATTGGCTCGAGGTATCCTTGCGCAACATTATGCCTTGAATTTATGCTATAATTGCTACATGTTTATGTGACTTAATTGCTACTTGACATTTAGCATACTAAATATTAAATTGCCTATTTGCTCCTTAAAGTCCATAATTAATTGCTACTTGTCATTACTTGTTTTCCTCAGTGAGTCATAATTATTGTGTACTTGTTGTCTTATGAATTCGTATTAATTGTTGCGTTTGTTGGAGTAAATTTCATTTGGAAGAACTGTTGACTTAATGAAATGGGAGCGGGTGGTACGCCTACCACGAGACTTAAAAAAATGGGAGCGGGTGGTACGCCTACCACGAGATTTAATTATTGAGAAATGGGATCGGGTTGCACGCCTGCAACGAGATATGTGCTGATAGTGAAATCTGCTTTTATTTCCCTTATCCGTGTTAGAGTTAAATTATTGATGTTATTATTATTTTCTTGAAATTCTGTATTATCTGCTATCCCCGAAGCATGTTCCCCTCCCATTTAAAATTTTTGATCTTGTTATTTTCCCGTTGTAGATATATATATGTATATATATATATATATATATATAACTGTACAGGTTTATGTGGTAGTCCTATCTAGCCTCGTCACTATTTCGCCGAGGTTAGGCTAGGCACTTACCATCACATGGGGTCGGTTGTGCTGATACTACACTCTGTACTCTTTTGCACTGACCCAGGTCCAGGACAGCAGCAGTAGCTCGGGAGCCAGCCTTCAGTCCACCGAGACTCCGAGGCAGCCTTGCACGCGTCCGCAGGCCCAACGTCTCCTCTATCTTATATTTCATTCTGTTATCTCATGTTTTCGAGACAAACAGTGTTATATTTCTTTCAAACGATTGAATTTAGTACTCTTAGTAGTCCGTGGATGTTGTGACACCAGTTCTTGGGTAGAGGCACATGTTGAATTCCGCATTATTGTTCAGCTTATTTAATTTAAGTCTTCCGCTTTAATTTCATATTCCGCTCTCATTTAAATATTTAACGCTTGTTATTATGATTGATAACAGGATTTAAAATAAAGTAGGTAGGAGTTTATGATTTGTGGCTTGCCTAACTTCTACGAGTAGGCGCCATCACGACCCCCGTGGGTGGGGAAATCCGGGTCGTGATATTTATGTACTCATACTACGCTTCTGTACTTAAATGTACAGGATCTGAGGAAGGTGCATCCCATCCGGCGAGCGTTCCTGATACTTGATCGTGATGTCACGGCGAGCTGCCCCCTTTTGAGCCGTTAACCAGCATGCCGGAGTCTCTGCTTTTGTTATCACTGTCTATTCTATTTCAGAGGCAGTACGATTAGTTGTATTTTTTTTTTTTTGTACATTCCACTAGTTTCCCTAGTACTTGTGACACTAGTTCCTGGCACAAACATTAGTAGACTATTATTTTTGGGTTGTATTCATGTTGCTAGTCTTTCCCAATTCAGTCGCCTTATAATTTTTTAATTATCGATTGTTTTTGAATTTAAGTTAAGTAAATGTCTAGAATGATTATTTAAAAGAATGAGAACTCACTAGTTGATTAGGGTTGGTTTGCCTAACAATGGTGTTGGGCGCCATCACGACCTATAATGGAAATTGGGTCGTAACACTTTATAATTCCGCTTAAACTATTTCATGTGACGGATACAAAGCCAGCCGGGGTTTCACATGAAAACTTATAAGCTTACATAAAAGGGTATCATCAAGCTCAAACCGAGTTATGGATTCTATGAACTAATTATTATTTCACAAATACTATTCGTTATTGTCCAATCTATTAGGCATACACTAACTCTGAATAGAGTTGTACCTTTTGATAAATCAAAACAATAAACAAATCACACTGATCATAATAATTATATCAAGATTAGGAGTATATGCTCATTTAATGAATTAGAGAAAATGTTTTATATATATATATTCTGTACAAAAATATATTTTCTCTACTTGGTCCGTTCAATATACACTAAGTATACTAGCACAAGAAGTCAGAGTAAAATCACTCCTATAATCAAGACAAATTACACTATCATCAAGATATTTTGCCTAATAATATCTTCGATTGTAAACATAGTTTATTAATTATGAGAACCGACAATTTAATCTTCTGTGCATGAGCTAAGACTCCATACACTAAATTGTCTACTACATAACTAAAAGGACACACATATAACAAATGATCTATTTAAAATAGTACTTTATTGAATTGAATAAATTAAATAAACAATTGTCCATAGAGAATAAAACAAAATACTATGTCTAAACCGCATGGTTAATAGTATATCCCAACAACTAAACAGTGAATAGTGACTTCTTGGGATACAATTTTTCGATAAAAAAAAAATTTAGCAAGTTTGATAGGAAAGAGTAAAATTTGAATAACCATCCGCAAAATTATCTCATCATTTGAGTGAAATAGTGAAACCAAAAGCACACATTTGATAGTCGAAGAACACATTTGAGAACTGACGAAAGAAGTCCAACGAATGTCAAATGTAAAGCAATACACATAAAAACCAGAACCAACTGAAAACGAGAGTAAAGTAAAAAATGTGCCTATAAATATGGACCCAAAGTTTTATTCTTTTTATCATGAATGACTGAATGGGGAATTTAATAGCAGGGAGCCTTTGAATTTCCCAAGTTATAACTACATTCATTCGCGTGGCCTGCTTGAAGTAAAAATAAAAAATGGGGTGGTCGATAAACAGAGTGATACTCCAGTAAACAAGCACCTCATTAAACAGTAAAAATAGCACGGTATAGCCAGTTTTCGGACTGATCAATCAAAAATAGCCAGCATTTACCAAGTCAATGAAAAATAGCCACTATTTTGCTGCAATAGAGACCGGTCCAGCATAATATACTGGAGTTCGGTGCACTTGTGTATGAACTTCAGCATATTATGCTGGACCGGTATACTTTGCTGACTCCAGTATAATATACTGGAGACTAGAGCATCGGTGCTCCAAAGTCCAGTATATTATACTGGACCAATATACTTGCTGGAACTCCAGTATATTATGCTGGAGTTCTAGTGTACTTATGCTGGAACTCCATCATATTATGCTGGAGTTCCAGCATACTTATTTTGGAACTCCAGTATAATATGCTGGAGTTCAAGTATATTTATGCTGGAACTCCAGCATAATATACTGGAGTGTTTTCCGGGTTTTGAACAGTGTTTTCGCTCAGATTTATCTTTATATAAAAAGTGGCTAAATTTCGATTACTTTTGAAATTGGGCTATTTTTCAACGACCAGTTGTAAATCTGACTATTTTTAAAATTTAACCCATTAAACACAGCTATAGCAATTATGAAATTGTAACGAACTGGTTTGAAAACGCAAGCTAATTTAAGCTGGTAAAACTTTTCTTAAACAGTCTGTAAAAACTAAGATAGTGCAAGTGGTTTTTTCTCTATTTTTTTGAGTCCGTATAAGGACATAGTGTAGTGTAACTATGCTTATATACAAAATCAACCAAAATAGAGCCTACATAGCACAGCTCGAGATATAAAATTAATAGGAAACAACAAACTAGGATTGAGCGGAAATGATTCAGAAGAATATACATACTAAAATACCCTGTATAACTCATCCCAAATAAAGGGTAATTATCTCCCTCTAGGTTTCTGTTCATCATCACCCTCCCCATCCTTGACAGCTAATTGAACTCTATTTGCTGGCAGTAAACGTGGATTTGGAGGATCTTTTTCCCGGACTGATCGAGGTTCCTGTAAGGGAAAAACCGATTCAATTAGAAAACAAATTATAAAGGAAAAAAGGAGTTTATTAGCCCCCATTAACGTGCAAAAATAAGCCAAGCTGCTAAGAAATTGAACTAGACATTTCCTTTTCAGTGAAGAGAAAAAAGATGGAGAACGGGATGACTCCTCGTAGTATACCTCTAATCACTCATCAGGTATAAACTTGTATACCATAAAGAGAGATATGATTCATACCAGAGAAACATGAAGCATCATTCATTAAGTGCAAATATACACACTATAAGAGAAGTCTAATTTCTACATGGATCAAATTTTATTATGCCTCGTGCTCTAGTAATTTTTCGAGATTCAAGCAATGAATTTGCTATTGGTGTTGTTGATACAGGGCCATACTAACTCAAGTACAGAGGCATACTGATATGTGGTTGCACCAACCACTCTAATTCTAACTGACTGGAAAAGGGCAGAAGGCATACCACCAAACCAAACTGATTTTCAGCATTACTCTACTTCAGTGATTGCAAACAGTAAAGGGAAGAAAGTCAATTTCAGCAACTGAAGGTCTGGACTCTGGATGAATAAGTTGTACTGCAGTTTATCATGTGCTACGGTTCACAAACAGTTATATGACCTATATTATGTTTTGAGAAGCAGATTGAGCTCATGCTAATTGATATGAGTGGATGAACGTTATATGCCAAGCAAAAATCAATTTTCAAATTTTCAATATAGTAAAGACTTGTAATTGAAAAAATAGGAAAAAACATTTTTCGGTCAATCAAAAGTCATTGTATGAGATGGCTTACTGCACGGAAAGGAAATTCATCAGCCTCAAGCATATGTACTATTTGTCCCATCTTTGGCCGCTTGTTGGCATCCATATCTATGCAGCGAAGGCAGACCAACAGAACCCGCTTTAGGGATCTAGGAGGAGGATGGACCTCAATTAATGGGTCGATCAATTCTTCACCATGCCGATTTGATACCATTCCTTTAAACCAATCAACCAAGTTCATCTGCAATTTTTTATAATGATGTCAAGATAATGGCAAAAGATATTTCAGATTTTAGCTGATTCAACCTCCCAAGAAAAGGTCCTTTCTATTCTTATCATCTTTTTTCTCCATTTTTTTTATATCTTTTATGGCTGTGGTTGCAGAAATGACAAGGGCAAACTTGGTTCTTACCTCCCCAGGGGGTCTTGAATAGTCAACAGGACTTCTTCCTGTAATAATCTCCATGAGCATAACACCGAAACTATACACATCACTCCCCTCATTAAGCATACCAGTACTGGCATAGTCAGGAGAAACGTATCTGCGGTGATAATCATCAACAATTTAGCAATTTAGCACAAAGCATCTACTTAGTAATAGTTGATAAAGTTTGGAATGATCAGAGAAAGGACACACCCAAAAGTCCCCATAACACGGGTGGTCACATAGCTTTTCTCAGATCCTAGCAGCTTGGCAAGTCCAAAATCTGATACTTTTGGATTCCACTTCCTATCCAACAGAATGTTACTTGATTTAACATCACGATGCACAACTTTGGGTTCCAAACCTTCGTGCAAGTAGGCAAGTCTGTCACAAAAAAAAATGAAAACTTAGTGATGACAAATGAGATCAGAAAAATAAAGCAGGCCATGAAATAAAGATATGCATCTCTTTTCTTTTGTTGCACACAAAAAATATTTAGCCCATAGATGCTGAATTCAGGGTAGAACGTCCAACAGCAAATTGTCGAAGCGTGAATATGTGCACTTAAATTGCCATTTAGTCACACGTCATACTTAAGTCATAAATGTTGTAAAGGTTTTGTATGAAGGAGTTTTTAGGAGATACAAAGGAGCTTCCTATAACCATGTGTTTACGCTAGCGATCAGCATTGAGCCTGTATTGGTCAGCCAAGTTTCCAGTGAGTTATATACATGACGAGGTCTCATGATGTATACGTTTTGTATACGATATTGTGTTAATGGATAAAACCAACAAAAGTGTCAACCAAAAGCTTGAACTACGGAAAAGCACTCTGGAGAGCAAGAAAATTAAGTTACTAAGTCGAAGTAAGACCGAGTATAAGCACCGCAAGTTTATTAGCACAAGAAGAGTGAAATTGAAGTGAGTCAAACGATTCAAGTATGTAGACTCAATATTTCAGGAGAATGAATTTATAAATGAATATGTTACGTATAAAATCAGAAAAGGATAGCAAATACGGGAAAGTACTACCACAATGTTATGTGATAGGAAGATACCTATCAAAGTGAAAGGCAAGTTATAAGACACTCTAAGATTCAACATATCCACAAGATGAGTGTGGTAGAAATGCGCATGAAAATCAGAAACGATCACATTCAGAAGGTGCAGGTAGCATGCATGAAGGATAAATGGGAGAAGGAAGGTCGTTTAAGAAGCCAAATCTTCAAATATTGGATTGCCACAGGTCTACATAGAGCCACATAGTGAGGATACATATGGTCAACCCTACTAGGTGGGGATTGAGGCATGGTTATTGATGTTGTATGCCATACTTTTAAATCCATTTTTGTCAAGAGTGGTAATGTCCTAACTTGACATATTTATGATCAAAAACGACCATGTTCGACCAGCTATAACAAAAAATGCTGATATGTAAAATATTATCTTTCAATCAACTATACTTTCTTATACTTGCAAGATTGTGCAACAAGGCTTTGAACGAAGAGAAGATTGCCTTGGAAATTTCCAAAGAAAGTGCACATAAAAGAACATGCTTTAGGTTGACAGCAATATCAGTTCACTACTGACAAGGATTAAGATACATAATCATGTAGTGGAAAACAAAATGTAGAAGCCTCACCCTCGAGCAGTTCCAGTCGCAATTTTCATCCTAATCTCCCAGGTTAGAGGACTAACAGGCCCTACATCACCATGTAGCCATTGCTCCAAATTGCCATTGTCAATGTACTCATACACTAGTATCCTGTATAGGCAGTAAATGATTTAGCAGTTACAGTTGAAGACAGAGACACGAATTTTACGCATGTTTGTGAATATTAACTGTAGCGAATTACCTATGAGCACCTTCTGAACAATAACCAAGAAGACCCGCAAGGTTTTTGTGTCTCACTTTGCCAATGGCCTCAACTTCCACCCTAAACTCCTTCTCGGCCTGACCCCTATAGATAAACAAGTCACAAAGAATGAACAAAATTGGTCGAAGTTTCAAAGGTAATTAAAAAGGACTGCAGAAACCTTGAACGTTGAACCTCATTCAAACTCGCAGAAAATTGAAGTAATAACCGAAAAATCTGTCCAATTTTGTTCAACTTTTTGCTATTAAAGTAATTTATTTTTGGCCGAGGTTATTTCATAGTATAGTTTTTTGGGTAAGGCGATAACTTGAGATCATAACAGTGAGCAAAGCTACTCAATTTCCCGTTGCACAGTTGTCAACCATCATTACTGCTATTAAAGGTTGGCCTAAATGGAAGCACAAATCATTCCTCACTAGAATAAGCAATCATATGCCAAGTTTTCATCAACGAGCATAATTAGGTCAGGTACAGGACATAAGAATGATTAAAAAAAAGGAAAAGTAAAAGAAAGAGACAATTAATTAAAGTATAAAAAAGAACAAAAAGGAATGAGGAAAAAGTAAAAGAGATGAAAATAGTTAACGGATTAAAAGAACAAAAAGGGATAAAAGACAAAAGTAACGTTTACTTTCTTTTCCTGTGGAGTAACAAAATAATGTACTTTGACCCGAAAAAGAAAAACAAATCACATGAGTCCAGATCTAAGAAGATTGGATTCCCTTCCCAAGGGAACTAAGCAAGAAAACAAACGAGATGTAGACACTTCACCAGCTGATCAACTCAAACAAACAACCAGATCACTTGACAGGGAAGAGAAGATTAAAAAAAATCTAAAAAAGGAAAAATTAACAAACAGAAATAACTTCAATCATGAAAATGCATATTTAAACACTAATGGGTCTTTCCAAATTGGATTTCATATTTATAAATAAAATTTAAGTTCTATGAGCTAATACCTTAAAATATATTTATACAATTAGGTCATTTAAATGTAATTCTGAATAATATTATTTAATAGCATTGATCGATAATCTATAATAAATGTTAGCAATATGCTATAATAGGTTTTTTTTTGGAAAATTCTCAGGGAAACCTAGATATGTTACCCTTCATGCACTGGATAACCTCTTCATCGTGCAATAGCTTGTAAACCACACAGGAGATATAAATCGTATTAGGCATGCCGAGTGCGACGAGCTCTGACAGAGGAACCTACTAATGAGGAGAATCGATCCCTAGTCTCCCATATGGTAAACCACTCACTCAACCAACTCATTCAACCCGTGCGGGTTATAATAGGTTAAATTTGACATTGTGTCAGTTAAATATTGCTTAAATCCTTAAATAAATCATGTAAAAACATGTAAAATTAAATAAACACCCACTTGTTGTTATGAAGCTTCTTGACAGCTACTACTGAGCCATCTTGCAAAACACCACGAAATACGATGCCGTATCCGCCTTCACCGATCACATTCTGGGCACAAAATCCACCGGTGGCCATCTCCAGTTCTTTCAAACTGTACCACCGGCCCCACCCGATATTTGACGACTCCGTAGAACCAGAGATCGCCGACGATGCATCACTCCGGCTCGTACTCGACTCATTACTCCCTGAACTTCCTTTTATACCCCCCGACTCAACTTCGACCACTTCCGGAGTTTCTTTTCTTAGAATCGCGATCGTCTCCTCCTCTTTTTTAGCAAACCGATTCACTTTACTAATCTCATTGAGATCGGAGATTTTGTTTTCGCGAATCACTTCGGATACTAAAGGTAATAACCCAGAGCTGGACTTAACGCCGTTATGACGTCGTTTTGAGGTTCGATTTAGCCGGAGGAATAGGAAGATGAGAACGAATATGATAACCATAATGACCACAGTGGTGGCTATCACGATATAAAGTTGAAGACCTAGAATGGGAGTTTTTGAAGTAAAAAAGCTGGATGAAGAGCTCCCCGAGCTGGAATTCTCGCCGGAAACCGCCATTATTTCCGGCAACAAACGAAGTAAGATAAAAATCCTACAGGGATTAGTTGATTAATATGACATTGGCATTTTAGAGAGAGAAAGTGAAGAGATGAGAGAGACTAATGGCATTGAGGAGGTTTTTGCTGATAGGAGCTGGAGAGTGGGGGAATAGAGACAGCGCTTTCAACAACAACGTATACACAACTCTTTTTTAAGGAAAGGCCATTTGTGTGAGGAGTGGGGACAACAAAGGGGAAATAGAGAGAGAGAGACCGTTTGAGCAGATGAAATGACGTTTTTGTCCTTCTCAATTACATGGATTTTTTTCATCTTATACTATACATTATTCATTATCCATTTCACTCATTGCATAATGGGGCCAAGGAGTTGATCTATCATTCTTTCTCATGTCTAAAGTTTGGGAGCTGATCATGTCCTGCCTTTTGGATTTAACTAAAGAATTGTTACAGTGTTAAAGCAAGTGATTCTGTTTTGTGCATTAATACTGTTAAGAATTTTCACACTATCATATTAAATTTAGGGAAAAATAATATTCCCTCCGGTCCAAAATAAGTGATTTTTTGGCCTTTTTTTGTGGTCCAAAATAAGTGATTTTTTCGGATTTCAAGAATGAATTAATTATTTTTTTCCTATATTGCCCTTGGAGTAAATAGTATTGGAGTATGTGTTAGGAGTATTTATGTGAAGAGATAACAAAGGTTAATATGGTCAATTTCATTGCTAATTAATGCTAAAAGGTGGATTTCTTAATCTGTGTGAAAATAGCTAAAAAAATCACTTATTTTGGACCGGATGGAGTACTTGTTTAACCAAAAAAACTGAATATTTGGTTAAAACTAGAATTTAATAGAGAAATCGGGTTACTGATAATCAAGAAATAAGAGATTTTGTGAACAACAATAAAGCAATAAATAAGAGTATATTTCAGCATAATCGGAATGATATTTTTTTGTGTCCCCTACAGATGTTGTAACTTTCTCCTTTTATAGTCAATTCTAAGAGAAAGTGTAATACCTTTGTCTTAATGAGGCAATTACGAGCAGTAAATGACATTAAAAGACACGTTATTCAATCATTCTTATTAAATACAAATTCTCTAACGTATTTGGCATTTAATGTTGAATTTGGTCTCTTTTACGCTATCAGGTTCATATCTTCAATTCCTTCTGATCTTCGAGCTTTAAATGGCTCGAACAGGTACGAGTCTCGTTTCATCTGGATAGTAGCTCGTACCTTTAAGTATCTTCTCTCCCGCATCTATTGTTGCTCGTGTCTTCTAACTGTTTGCCATGCTTTGACTATTTGATCGGTCCACGTGTCATGACATGTCATCTTCAATATTTAAATTCAGTTTTTTCCCAATACAGATAGTCCCCCCACTTTCCCTTTATTTATCAATTAAATATTTGGGAAGTGGATCTTCATTAAAAAGGGAATTTTTGCCATAATTAATGCTATGACAGTACTAACGCTTCAGTTGTCTTTTCTATTTAATGCATCGCACACGTGTCTCCTTCTCACTAGCTCTGTAATTCTGCAGCCTTTTTTCAAGGCTTCTTCAACTCCACTATTCACGAAGTGATAGTTGCCTTTATTATAGGCTTTCCATCATTACACTTCTTAATCTTTGACGGTTGCTTTTATATAAACTTAATCCTCCTTCCACAAATTTTTACCTAATATTTCACTATTTACTTCTATTCACTTCTTCCTCTGTTCACGCCTTTCTACCATGTCATCTTCAAATCCCAACCCTAGAAGAGTCCCAATTCTTGACATTTTTCCCAATGCCCCTGTGAGACATAGAAGGGGTAGAGGGGTTAGGCTTCGTGGCCTTGGATCCATTTGTGGTGGTACCTCTGGTTCCATCACTCTTTCTTCTAGCTCTGGTATTACTTCTAGAGGTTCTTTCATTAATAGATCTTCCTCTAAAGGCAAAGAATCTTCTGAGTCGATGCAAGAACCTTTGGTCGAAGAAATAGTGCCAACTGATTTATCTTTCGAACATGATAAAGAATCCCTTCGTGATCAAGTAATTAAATTAGAGAGAGCTGACACTTATCCTTCTTTAATTACTGAACCCTTAATTTCCACTGTTCGAAAAGATTGTCGTTGGAGAGATGACCTTCATATAGCTATTCCTAACCCAAATCAGAGAATATCTTCTTATAGGATTGGTTTTTCCTCTGTTTATACTTATCCCTTTACTTTGGGATCTATTCCTGCTATCGACTCAGTCATACTCGATTTTTGTCGTTTTTTCAAAATTTGTTTGGCTCAAATTGGCCCTCTCGTATGGAGAGCAGTAGCTTGTTTAAGGTATGTATCGGTAAAGGCTGATGTCGATTTTACCTTCTCTCATCTGATTCATCTTTACCACCCCAAGCTGTTTCGCAATGGTGTTTTTACCCTAACCGCAAGAAGTAAAAGGGTTTTGGTAAGCCCTGAAGATGATAGGCTGGTACACCCGTTATGTTGCGGTACCCACGGTTGATTTGGTGGGTGAATCAAATATTCCTTTCCCTGAGAAATGGAACCTTGCACGTAAGTATTTCTTTCTTGTCGTGTTTGTTTTATTTCAACTCCTTTTCTAATTTCATTCTTTTTTGCTTTTTTTGTAGCAACCATGGGAGATGTGGAACCCGTTCCTAATTTCCGTGGTTGGGTAGATGCTATTTTGAAGGCCGTGCCTATGGAGGCACGAACCTGGAAATCTATTTCTAACAAACATGGTTGGAAAGTAAAAACTCACGGTATGCGTCTCTTATTGTTTCCCGTATGTTAAATTCTTTCCCCTCTTCTAACTTTTTATCCTTCTTTCTGTCAGGATTTGCTATTCGAGGAATGTCAGCTGAAGTAGCTATTGCCCTTCGAGCTTCTTTTGGTACTCCTCTTTCTTTGGAGAGAGAACAAGCTACACTGTCAAAGAGGAAAGTTGTTGAAGAGGATTCCGAGGATGATGAAGATGAAGACACCTCTTTGGCAGTTAGACCTAGAGTCAGGAGACGTATCATTTCTGAAGATGAAGCTGAAATTTCTCCTACCCGTGCCTCCTCTCCGGTTAATATTGTTTCCGATGATGAAACCATCCCCGGGGACACCATTGAATCCACTCAACGTCTCTTCACTGAGGGTTTCGAAAGTGGTGATCTAGGTCCGGTTTTAGATGAGGTTCCTCTTTCCTCTTCCATTCCTATTCCTTCTTTAGTTTCAAGTACATCTTTGCCCATTTTATTTGTTCCTGCTTCTTTGTCAATTTCTGCTCCTTTACCTGCTTCGACTCCCTCGACTCCTGTTATTTTCACCTCTTCTACCGTTCCTCCTTCTATAGCTCCCCCTTCCTCTGTTCAGCATGCAGAGGAGGGTTCTAGTAGCAGAAGTTTAGCTATGAGGAGTGTAACACTTGAGGTTCCTGCTACTAACAGTCTTTTAAGGAAGTCTCGTGGAGCAGATGTCTGGCTTAAGCCTTTAATTGGAGATATTGAGAAGAAAAAGATGGACAGTCACAGTTGCTTAACTTTGATGAATGACATAGTTCATTCTACGTTGAAGGTATTCTCCCTTTACCTTCTAATAAGTTTTTTTTAATTATTTCGATTCTTATCTTCATGAGTTGTCTTTGTAGGCCAACCTTATTGGCACGGAGTTGATGGGAAGAATTTCCCTTTTAGAAAAGAAGGCTCGTGAATCTGATAAGACTATTCTCGAGGCTGAAAGGGTAGCTAAGGAAGCCCAGCTGGAGGCAACTAATTGGAAGGAACAATTTAAAAATGCTCAAGACACGATAAAAGAATTGCAAGAAAGCAACCGTAACCTGGAGCAGCAAAAGCGGACTCTGACTTCGGATTTAGCGAAGGCCAAGGCTTCTTCTAGTAAAGCCGAGAAGGACAAGGAGCGCCTCGAGTGTTCCTTTTCAGAGCAATTATCAAAGTCAAGTGAAGAAATCAGAGAACTTAAAGCACTCTTGAACAAGAAAGAAGAATATGCAGGAGAGTTAGTACAAAACTTGACTCAAGCTCAAGCTGATTTGAAGATCTCCTCTGATAAGGTTCATGCATTAGAGAGTTCTCATGCCTCCCTTGAAGCCACCCTTGATTCCACTTTAGCTGAAAATCAAGTGTTAAAGAATGATCTTGCTATGTGGGAAAGGGATTATGAGCTTCTTGAGGAGAAATTTAATATAGAAGTGAGTTGGGCTTTTCTAAACTCTCGTCGCGATGCTTTAACTGAGGCCAGACAAGAAAACTTTGATTTAGAATCAGAATTGGCCAAGGTTTTGAAAACCATTGAGATGACCCAACAACCACTTGACTTTCCTTCTCCGGCAGATGAAGCTCCCGTGACTGAAGAGCTTTTAAATGAAGAAGCCGTTGCTGTGACAATTGAAGTTGAAAATGTTGCTATTCCATCTCCCGAGGGTGAAACTTCTATGAATCGGTTTGAGGAAGCTGACGCTTCCGTGGCTCTTGCTCCCCTCGAAGAATCTACCATTTTAATCCCAGCTGAAACCGCTTCTGTTGCTGTTTCTTCAGAAGTTACCGTTCCTGAAAGTGAAGCTGATATCACAACTTCTGATGCTCCAGCCACTCAGTGACCAGTTTATGTTTTCAAACTCTATTTTTATTTGCTTTGTTGATTGGTGGAAAAAGTCCCCAGTTAGGACTTATAGAATAATTTAGCATTTTTTAAACTTTGAAAATGCTTTATGATCTTCTCGTGACTTATTAACATGAGGCTTATAAAAGAGGGCCCTTTTATATATATCGACACTTAATGAAGAAGACGTCTCAACTTCATAATGGTGTTACAATACGATGAAAGAAATAGGAACACACATGTTTCGCTTGGAACCACTTTGACAAGTTTTTATTCATGAACTTTGACAAGCTTTTGAATATTACATGTATTAAAATACATCTATAACTTTCTCGTAACTGTTTTTCTTGTAACAGATTTTTGCAAAATAAATATAATTCTAACAAGGTTTTTTCTTATAACCCGTTTCAGTATATCGTCATGACCCTATCTTCATGTACTAGGAAGGGTTTGAGAGGTGACTCCATTGTTCCCATGAGTTCGAGCACTATGATGAATGTTTTATATCCTCATTTGTTTTGACGGGTAAAGAACACAATGATAAATGTTGAGGTTACCGTAGTCTTCTG